CAAACCACTGCTGTCTGCTCTAGTCATGTGGAATTGGAAATCCTCTGCTTAACTGGTTCGACTCATACCTAAAATGGTCGAACTCAGGTAGCTAAAATCGGTCAGCAAAATTCTACACCGAAGCCAATAACCAGCGGTGTTTTCTAGGGAAGTGTGCTCGGACCACTACTTTTCTTAATCTACGTAAACAATATATGTGACCAGATCAAACATGGATACCCATTTCTGTTTGTAGATTATGTCAAATTGGTTTACTCATTTCATCCAGACCAACTACATATGTGTTTGGGGAACATCTGTGAAGACCTATCCGCACTAAATATAGCTAGTGAGCGTTTAGTAATGAAGTTCTCCTCAGTGAAATCCCAAGTACTTGGGTACAGATGCCGCATCCCAGAAGGCTCCATTATACTTGCCGGAAACTTGATCCCAACGTCTGATTCAGTTCGGGACTTAGGAATTAGGTACTCCAACTCTTTCAATTTCTCCGAACATGTTCTTTATCAGGTTGCGAAAGCAAGGCAGCTATGCGGATATATCACCAGAACTTTCTCCCTACCTGAAGTACGACTTGAATCATTCAAGACAATTGTACGACCGACTCCGGAATATTGTACTATCGTTCACAACCAATTGAGAAAGAAAGACAGAACGGCTCTAGAAAATGTCCAACGATCACTTACCGAGCTGCTCATGGGGCGCTGCTCAAACCTGACTTATTATGATCGCTGTCGAAAACTCCAACTGGATCCACTTTGGCTGAGACGCTTAAAGAACAACCTTATAAACAAACGAATTTACGCAGACAGCACCGCACTTGAACTACGGAAGATTGCAGTCTACCCCACACGTAATGGCGGCCACTTGATACATACAAACCTTTCAAGTCATAAGACTCGGTCTAATTTCTTCTTAGTGAGATACACTGATCTGTGGAACAAACTACCCCTACTGATACGCGTGTGTACAAGTCGTATGACCTTTCGAAATGTCCTTCAAATCTTCATCCCTATACCAAATGTGTTGAAGACATTTGCTTCACAGCAATCTCTAGAAACATTGACAGAAGCTGGTATAAACAACATATGGGCAGATATTCGCTTACAGCTAGCTTACCCACTACATGTCATTACATACAATACCAAATCCTGTATCTTTGCAGCCTAGTAGTCCTTCCCTTTATTATCTACTTCTGATGATACAAACATCCGTAAAGTTAACCTATGTCCTAGGACCCAAGAAAAAAAAATAATGATCCGAAATGCTATTAATAAACTTTTTTTACTATTATGAAACATATTCAATATGCAAATGATGGCTCCCACTTATGGGGCCGAGCACCATCTGTCGGTAAATATAAAATTTATTTATTTATTTTAGTTTAACAATTCCAGGTGCACGTAATGCAAGAGCAAATATCCGAAAAGCCGCAATACGAGTTATTTATGAGATTTTGTCAGTAGAAATTCGATAGCTTTAGCTTTGGTGTGTTACCCCACTAGTGAAAAAGATGCATCTTATAGGGCGATAATTTTTCGGCTCGAAGAGAGAGTCAGATTTATGTCGCGGTACAACTATGGCTTCTTTCCACTGAGCTGGCACGGTGTTCGTGGATAACCTGAATATACCCAGCAATAGCAGGGGATGTCAGTCTATCCCAGTTGCAAAAGCTGCAGAGGGAATAGTGTCGGGCCTCAGTGATATGATAATTTTGTGTCTGTGTGTTCGTGTATAGTGTAGAGTTCAAATCTGATACAGTTTAGCTGATCGACTGTGACTGGTGACAAGGCCATGTATATGTGTTTATTATCCACGTTGAAGGAAGAGCAAAGATACTGATTAAACATTTCGCCAGTTTGAGCAGGGTCTGTTGTGTTGCAGCCATCTGATGACAAGAGTGAGATTGTGTCGTGGATGAGCTTGGTAGTTCTTTGAATGTCTCCATGTTCTGTGCATTCATCATATGTGCTGACAATGCATTCCATTGTGACCAGATTCGAAGACAGGATAGTTTTCGATCGATCCGAGATCCCTTAAGATGGTCAGAATCTTGCACAGTTGTGGAAGTTTTCAGCAGTCAGCCTCTCAGCATTGTGGTGCATTTTTAAAAACAAATGGAATAGAATCATGCCATTCCACACTGTATCAAGGACTCCTTTGAGCTCATCGAAACCTGATATGATTAACTTATCCGACCTTGTATTGGGTGCACTAAATGTACAATCGCTATTTACAAATGTTCCACTACATAAAACCACTGATTAGGTGTGGTACTCGGTGAAACGCACAACTTTATCTCCTCTAATACCAAATGAGCTGATGAGAACACTGAGATTGCCAGTTTCCACTTCCGAAACGTACAATATCACCAGGTTGATGGAGTGGCGATGGATGATCCATCGGGTCCAGTATTCGCGGGTTTCTTTATATCCATGGTGGAGACAAACATGAGCGCAGAATTTTTCGTCTTGCGCACTACAAACTCTAAATGCAAGATGTTTTGGTCTGTTCATCAAAAACAGATAATGGATCGAACTCTCTATTAATATATTACCCTGCTGAAAGTACTCAGCAAAGTAGTAGGTAACAACTGCCTCTCTTTTGGATATGGTGATTAGTCGGGAACAAAACGGTATCGTCAAGAGAACTATTTATCTAAAACCAACATGGTCCGAATTGTACCTGTACTACATCAGCTGCAGTCCATTGCGATAGAAGCGGACACTACTCATTTAACTGCACCCTTATTGCCTGTAAGAAAAACTGGAGCTGTTGGCTAATATACTGTTGAAAAACGGGTTATCCTAAAGCCCAGCCAAAGAAACGAGACGAGTCAGAAAGGTCTCATAGTGGTCGAGAAGAAAATGGAAATAGAACTTTTAGTTGTAATTATGCCGAAGCAACAAAGTGCCTGTTCTTCCAACGGAGGAAAATCAATCTGTCCGCACTAATTCACGCTGTATTTAACAATTCACTTGTGATTGCTGTGCATGCTATGTCGGAGGTATTGATAGGGTGTGTAATTTCGGAGTGAAGAAATATGAACTTTTTGATGTAACGTGAAATTATCCCATCTTCCGCTTTGCCTACTACCTCTCTCACCCATAGGTAGACACATATTGGCCACTTGTCCTCCATTTGACCCTGTCAGAATGTTCACGATTTTGTTGAAACATACCAACACCAGATTCCGACTGACATGATCAGCCGGATTATACCGACACTATGCAAAATCAGTTCTTCGTAAGCCTAAAGCTCTCATGGAAGTAGGGGTGGCACATCTGTCCTCCACCCTGTCTCCATCTTACCTAGTCACACCCTATCTGTAAGTATACAGATTTTTCTGTGACTGGATTCGTCCTGACGAGACAATGATAAATATCAACAGCTCCTTGTTTTCGTTTTGTCACCGCGTTAGTGAAAGTGCTAAAGTGATCTAACTGTTTCAGAACACAATCTGTCCACGTGGAAGCTAATATTGTCATATTACCTTGCTCAATCATAGACAAACGTCAATTCTCTAATCACAGGGTTTAAGCACGGGTTTAGCAAAGCAAAGCAGGTGGTGGAGAAGCCGCTTGCTGTCACATTTGATAACAAAAAGTAAACTTTGGTAGTAAACAGTTTACGTATACCTACGTCTTAAGTGCATAAGTAATGATTTAGTACATTTTGCCCTAACCGACTATTCGGAGGAAAGCAAGGAAATCACGCACAAACCGTGCAAATTCTTCAGACGAGCACGAAGTACAAGCTGAACAAAATAATGAGGCGCATTGAAAAGTTTCGTTTTAATTACTCCACGGGTTTCGTACGCTACTGGTGAATACTAAAACCACTGAAGGTCGGTACCAAAGTAAGATACGTCAAAGCTCGTAGCATCTTATACCTGATAATTTCAAGGCTATCTGTGGTATTGTTACGTGCGCACATAATCGCAGATGCAATTCTTCTCAAAGAGAGTATTAGAGGATCGAAGTATCCACCAATCAGATTGCATGAATATTCACTGTGCTTCAACTGCCATCACGGCGACCAACTGTGAAACACTCAATCACCTATTCGTCACAAGGAATATATGCACTTTTTCTCTTGTCTGTTTTCTCCACACAGATCAGGGTAAAAGTTGTCGAAGCTCGCCAGCTTCAAGGAGGGAACGTGTCCCCTGTATGCAAAATTACATGCTGGAACAGAACAGAAGAGACCATTGTCAAAAACTCGACTAATTCACCTTATTGGAATCAAATATTCTTCTTTAACTTCAATGAATCTCCAGCCAATCTCTTGGATCAGTCGATCAGTTTCGTGGTGTACAATTCACGCCACTTGAGAAGAGATGCGTTCATAGGGTCGTTCAAATTCGATCTTTCTATGGCGTACGAAGAACCTATGCACTGTATGCTGAACAAATGGTTGCTACTGAGCAACCCCGATGATCCGATGGCTGGCGCAAAAGGATATCTTAAAATTTCTATCGTTATTCTAGGTCCAGGAGATGAGGCACCGGTGAGTTCCATTTTGTCTCGGAACTTTGCATATGCTGTGTTGTCCAGTGTGTACAGAACATCAAAGTTGGTGTGACACCCAAGAGGCTGTGAAAATGACTACAACAGTTTCCTGACAAGTTACTCATTTGTAAGCGTTATGTAATACCTGCCCCTAAGCACAAGGAACCGCAGTCTATCTAAATCGAATTAAGGGATAGATAACCTCGAAGTGCCCCGAATCTTGAGGAGAGTGGAGTATTGCACTGACTCTTATGTGCTAGGCTGATGCGTCTCTGAACCAGACTCGTATTAAAGGCAGGATAGGCGTTCAGAGACAGCACCGCAACTAGGCAAATTAAGCTAAGTCGAACTAAACTGCATACATCAGAAAAAGCACGTTTACATTAGCAATGCTTGTGTAAAGAAAGGATGGCATCAAGCAACATACGATAATTGAAGAGCAAAATGTGACTCGTGTATAGTGATCACCAGAACAGTTGCAGGGTCGTACGGATAACTGAGTAAAAACATCAACGTGACAGATAGTAGAAGATGAGATTGTTATGTGGTATAGTACGAAGCAATGAAAAATGAACAATAATTTATAACTGGTAAAAAAGCAGGTGCTTGACATGTCCCGTAGGGTGGTTAGAGTGAGCAAAGATAAATAAAGGGATAATTAGAATCGTAGGTTTGGGCGATTACAGATTTAACTGCACTGCCGTATAAAGGGAGTTTGAAATGTGAATGTATGCACACAAAGCAATAAGGGGAGTGGTTTTTGATCACGTAATAGGCGAGAAAAAAGTAGCAAGAACAACGCTTACTCGTGTGCAACTATCTTGGGTCGACGGGATACAGAAATCTAGTTTCTATAGTAGTAGCGTTTATCAAATTGTGTGCAAAGGGTTCGGGGTGACTGGTTCTCGATTAGGGTTATGGCACTATCCACTGTCTGTTGTGCATTAGTGCCAGCATCTGGTGGTCATGGGTAGGTGTAAAGTGACAGAGTTTCGTCAAGGCGTTTTTTGAAAAGGAATAGGGTGGGAGCATTAATTACATGTTCTGGGAGAGCGTCCCAAAGCTGTGACACTCTAAGGGAGAAAAAGTTTCGCCGGCATTCTAGTCGGCTGTATTGCGTGACCACCTTAAACTGGTGACCTCTTAACGCGTTATTTTCAATGAGTATTAGAAGGGAATGGCATGAATGATTCGGGTTTCTCAGGATTTCATATATCATTGTGAGATTGCTCGTTAGACGCCGATAACATTCACTGCATATTTTGATAGTCTTCAGCCTGAGTGGGTAGGGGATGCTGGCCAAACCTCTGACGCTCTTCTTCGCCTTACGTTGTGCAGTTTCGAGCGCGGTGAGATGGTGCTTGAACCAGGGTTGCCATGCTTGAATAGCGTATTCAGCCTGCGGCCTCACGTACGCACCAAGCATTTTTACAAAGACTGAAGGGTTAGGCTTCCCGAAAGCTCTGCGAAGAAGGCCGAGGTACTGGCTTGCTTTCTTAACTGCCTTTTCAGTCTGCCTCAAACAACCAATGTCATCTTGATGTAGCACGCCGAGATCGCACTCTTGAAATCTCCGCTTTAGAATTTGTCGTCCTAGGCGGTACCTGTGCATACTCTTGTGCCGTATGCTGAGTACTTTGCACTTGATGACGTTGAAATGCAGCAAGTTCTCGATGGACCATATGTACGGTTTGTCCAGGTCCTCCTGTAACGCTGTGTGATCCACTGTAGCTATAGTACGCCATACCTTTAGGTCATCAGCAAATAACAAACAATTAGATAGCACGCTCGTGAGATCATTTATGAAAACCAGGAACAGGCGGGGCCCAAGTACCAAGCCTTGAGGTACGTCGCACTGAACTTCGATGGATTCCGACAGGTTGCTTCGAATCCTCATATTCAGGTGATGTTGCACGAGAAAGTCTCCTATCTAGCCTAGAACAGGATCGCCGATTTCATATTTCTGGAGTTCGTGGAGGAGAATGCGATGGTCTAGACGGTAAAATACCTTTCAGAAATCCAGGTAGGCCGTATCGACTCCTACACCAGCGTCCACAGATTCCGTCCAGCTTGCACGAGCAATCAAAAGATCAGTGGTACAGGAGCGAATTGGCTAAATCGGTGTTGTTCCGGAACGAGAATTTTGTTGTTCTCCAGGTACCCCATCAAAGCCTCAGCTACAATGTACTCCATAACCTTGGAGATCACAGGAAGTAGTGTTATCGGGCGATAATCTACTGATTCAGCACGGCTGCCTCTTTTGTAGGCTGGCGTGATGATTCAGTGCTTCCATATCGTAGCGACGTGCATCTCGTTCAGACATCGTTGAAAGAAAACTGCTAGTGGTCCTGCCAAACTCATGGCAGCAACTTTTAATGCCTTCGGTCGAATGCCGTCCGCACCCAGAGAGCTGAGTTCGGGCAGATGTATCAGCCAATTCAGTACAGCTGCAGAGTTAAACGATATGCTATTAAGGCCTGATGGCGGTATTATCTGCTTAGGTTGGATGTATGATGGTTGCGTACTTTGGAAGGTACGGCCAAAATGTTGTCCAAGAAGGTTGGCTGCCTCTTGTGCGGTTTGGGCTAACCCGCATGGTGTGTGCGGAGCATGAATACCGCGCTTAACAAGGCGCAAATTGTTTACGAGTCTGTATAGCAGACTAGGATTAGAGCAAAACTTTTCCACTAGACCTTGTTGGTTCTTCAGTTAATCCTCCTGGACGAGTCTGACACAGTGGTTCCCTTGTATTGAGGAGACATCCCAGGTATCGTCGTTCGGGGAGGCTATGTAGGTACACCATGTCAAGTCACTTAATTCTATTTACGTGTCCTGCTCCATAGGAAAGACTTCGTCCTTTTAGGCCGGCAGATTTTTGTTTCAGATGTCCTTGCCACGATCTTGATAAATATGTTGACGAATTCTCTGTAGGCCTTCTCAGCGGTTAATTCGGCTAAGAACGACCAGCTGGTTGCATCAATGAGGTCGGACAGGTTGTCATAGTTGATCACGACAGGAGATTTCTCGGCATGCTCTTTAGGATAATTCGCGTAGCACATGTAATGGAACACTAGCGTCTCATGATCACTGCGGCCCGACGGAGTATCGGTTATCACGCTCTCGACCATCAGTTCTTCATTGGTGAATATTCCGTCCAATATGGATGGCCTGTTAGTTCCCCTGAATCTGGTGGGCGTAGTGACGTGGCCATACAGCGCGAAGTCTGAAACCAGATATTGAAGGTCTGCTTTGAATTGCTCTCCTGGTGTGGACTGGGATTCTACAGCATGTAAGTTGAAGTCACCGGTGACTAGAATGTGACTGTGCCTCCTGTTTATCACTTGCCTCAACACAGCCATCAAATTGCAGTCCATCTCAGGAGTAGACGATGGTGGGCGGTAAACAACAACCAATTGGCAAAGATCTTTCCCTCTCAGCTGGAAATTACACCAAATGGCGTCAGGTACGTCGGTTTCCGAATCATCCATGGGTTCGCATTGCATGTTGTTACGAAAGTAGTGGGCTACCCCACCACCTTTGCTGGCTCGATCCTTCCGGACAACGGACATGCCTGTTGGCGCGATTTCAGCATCCGTTATCTCACAACGCAACCACGTTTCGGTGACAGCAATGAGGCCCTAAGCTGCTGACGAGTCGAAGTCTTAATTTAGCTAATTTACTGAGTAGATCTTGGGTATTTGTGTAAATGCATGAGAGTTTCTCGGAGACCAAAAGTGTGTTAGGTTGGTTGGTTGAAGCAAGTGAATTTAAGCCGACCAATAAAGGGTTAGCGACTAATCGTTTATTGGATGGGCTGCAGACTCTCGAGACGAATTTAGTGTATAGCCCGGTATCAGATGCCTAGATCCCGGTGTTTCCTCGTGCTCTGCTGTGTCCCTCCGGATACTATGGTTCCTGTTGAAACCGTCCCCGAGTCGGGTCCTGCAGTTGGCATTTTCATTAGGAGTTGTGCCTCTACTGAATTGTCGTTAGAAGGTACTGGTGTTCCCCCTGCTTTCAAAGGAATTTCTGTTGGCAATCTGCAACGCAACTTAGTCCAGTTCTGTAGAAGGGTTTGTGTCGTTAGTTCTGATGCTAACATAATTTTTAACAGCCTGGGACCGCAGCCCTTATGGTTTGGTGACATGGGGATACTTGTCAACGAGGTGGCCACGACTTCATTTCAGAAAACTTGGTAAACGACCGGTTAATGTATTTATGAGGATACACAACGTTTCGCATTTGACACAAATGCTTCATGTCTTCCCGACCGGTTCCAAATATGTTCCAAGATATTGAGGTGGCCACGACATTTTCGAGAGAAAGAGCCTCCCGGATGTAGTGCCATTGTTCGCGGTCGTGAATCTACGCATCGTTGGAAGAGGAATCAGTAAGCTCAGGAGCACTGTGAACAAGGAAGGTTTTCTTATCTTGACTTGTTCTGTACCTCTCTCTGTTAGCGGGATCCACTGAACGTTCTTTCCACGGGATTTCAGGTAGTATGCGCACTCCACTTGAGTCGTTGCGGAGGCGATTTGGACAGCAGAACGACCTCAGTCTCGTCCGCCGAGTTTAGTGTTACCCGAAGTAAGTGGGGTTCACCGTAGCACAACGCGTTTGGGTGACGCGAGATTCTTTGTAATATCGTGGGATTAGCATGGACACCGATCGACGTCCATATGTAACCCCATTGATTTCGATTACCCGTCAACCTATCCTTAATTGTATTGGATTTGGATTCGGGGACATTTGTGCACACAAGGTTTAAGGCACCATGGTTGCGCCTGGTGGCTACTGCTTTTGGATTTGGAGCCTTAGTATCCAGTGTTTTTGATGGATTTGTGAACGGCACTGATGAGTGCCATCCGTGATGCGCACTGTAGTTTTCTCTAGTCCGGGCACCAAGGTTATCGGTGCTATTTCCGGTGTTTGCTTGGCGGCAACTGATGCGTACGTTGCCGGGTTGTTCACTATTGCTGTTTGACTGTAGCTTACGGTCTCGTGTGTAGCGAACAGACTACTGGGTACAGCACATAGTACAGAAGTTGAGGCAAGCGCGCTGCAGGCAATGTTTTTACCTATAGGTGGGGGAGAGAATGGAGTTGATACTGCTGGAGGCTGAATTGTTGGGGTAAGGTTGGGAAGCTTGGCTGGCTTCTTCGGCCTGACTAGGGAATTCGGGGTGTTATTTTCACTCACAAGTACAGGTCCGATATATCCAACTTAGTACACCATATAGCGTTTTAAGTCGTCAGTACATTTTTTATGTACCCCAGCGGGCGCATTTTCAGCATTTTACATTATTAACTGTAAATTTAACAAGGGGTTATCACTTAACCTGCTAATTTCATAAATGTGTAGGAATATGGGTAGGATGCATGGATGGATCGATGGCGCAATAATCTCAAAAAGCTGAACTAAATGCTCAAGATTTGTAGCTATTCAAAACGGAGGTTTCATTAAAACCTTTCGTCAGAATTGGTTTCAAATGTGGTAAACTTTTCGTGTCCAAAGACAGTTGATCAGAAATCGTACGAGACATCTCAATGGTCTTATTCATATGTTCGATGGAGCGGAGGGTCTCAGTGACCTTGGGCGTTGATTGAACAAAATATCTGTCAGTTTATGCTTGCAAAACTGACATATATATATACACATATATACAATAATTAACGTAAAACATGATGTTCAGCGAAAAGGAGGACGCCGATTTGAATGCCCCGCCACAATGTGCAGCAACGCTGCAAGCTTTGAGATGTTTATTAGCAATAAAAGCAACGCGGGACTCTCCATATAAACACTCGAATATTTAGCCTAAGTATTGTCGACCGCACAATCAAGGGGCAGGCTTTGTGCATCAAAGTAGAGAAACTTGCTGAAGACATGAATAACTAACGCGATACATGCCGTCAAGAAATAAATCATTAAGCTGTAAGGTATTGAATGCAACTTACGTTTGTGTGCACCAAAATAATCTTCCGGCTTTATAAAGAGCTTCGTTATCTTTTGCGGGCCATATTAGAATTTAGACCACGGGACCAATATGGGTGACTACGGTCGTACTATGTACGGTTCAAGGTATTACTGCCAGATGAGGAAAGCATTCGTTGCAGATAAACATAGGTATTTATAAAAGCATTAATATCATTCTTTCATTTGGGGAAGGAACACGCTTCTAACCTACACTTGTGATCATACAACAAATTACGGCCCTTATTTATCATTAAACTTACAATTACCTCCACCAGAATGGCTCAGAATCTCATATGCAACTCCAACCACTAGCGATTTCGAAGCCGCGGTCACTATTAACGAATGTAATAAACTTTCACAAGCATCCACCAGTTTGTCAACATTTTCATTATTTACGTATATTTTTCCATATTTCTGCAGAGCATGAAGGCTGTAGACTCAGAGGCTGATGAAGACATCGAAGCGTAAGTCCTGAAGTTTGATTGAAATGAAGGACCAAAACGTATTTAGGAACTTAATGCGTCCTGCTGGAGTGCAACTTCGACCCGCACTTTTCACAATTCGACTGTTTTTGGGAGAGGATCTGCCCCGAAGTAAGCGTTAGTTGTGTAATTTTGCGCGGTTGCTTAAACATTCCATCTGGCTAGACCTTTATAAGGCCATTCCTCATGTTAGAGTAACCCAACTTCCATAGCGAATTGAGCGTCATTTTTAGCGCTTCAGAACTGGTTGAACGTACTGGACACTCTCACCGCATCTATGGTCACAAAATTCACGAATCGCACTTTATAATCCGTTCCTGCTGGAGCGAATATTCTGCTGGCTGATGAAATAAAACATTTAGAATGATACAGGTAGAAATTTAGCACATCTAGACTCAGTCAGATGGCCAATACATTCCAGGAAAGGCGGTGCACGGCTGTTGCATCCTTCCGGAAATTTTCAGCAGTGCATGTTTCATCTGAACCCTGTGGAACTCGAACCAGTAACGCGATTTATGCCGGTCTGTGGTCAAGACCACTGAACTACAGTGGATGGAAATGACCACATTGACTGTTACTAAATGTGATATAGAGCCGCTCAATATCCGTTACCCTGCACGTTACTACTGCGCAGAGGACGAGGTAGCCCCCTTAGCAAGCGATGTACCTAGCAAACCTAAGCCGACAGTTAGCTTACGGCATTATAAGCCGTTTGGTCTGTGTGCTGTCTACAGATGAGTAGTAGGGGAGTTGACTGGTTTAGGTAGAAATTCAACACGTCTAGGCTCAATCAGACAGACATCAAACGCCCAGAAATGCACTGCACGGCTGTTGCATATTTTGGGAATCGTCAGCAATGCGTATTCCATCTAGCCCTTGTAGTGCTCGAACCTGCAACTCGACTGTTGCCAGTCTGTGCTTGAGACCACTTCGCTACGGGGAACAGCTACGACCGTCGTGACCAAGTTATTATATATGATATAGCGCCACTCACTAACCACTAATTTGCATGTTACTGCCGCGCAGAGGACAGGTTAAGCTTCTTCTCAAGCGATGAACTTATAAAAATCTAAACCGCCAGTTGACTTGAAATAAGTGGATAACACAGCTGTGTTTAATTCCAGCTACTCCTCCCCACACACGTTACACGCTGCAGCTTGTGAATAGCACTGTCACTATAACTGGTGCCGTTTCAGATCAAGAGCAACATGCTGCTTGTTCTCATCACCTTAGCGTGATTGATGATTTCGCTTGTTGACTGCTTATTCTCTGATGATCAAAGCATGGAAGTATGTCGGAAAAGCTCATTTGGTGTTTTAGATCCTTAATTACGAATGTAGAAGGTTTGCTGCTAATCTATGGGTCAACCGAAGGGCAAACAAGGCTACACTACTGTCAGCATAACAGCGTAGATCAGAGGTCTACCCAGTACATCCTGAAGATCTTAGGAGACCGGCAGTCTCTGAACGCCGATGTTGCATAATTATTACTAATATCAGATGGGAGCACCGAACGAGTAATGATAGATTTTCTCCGATGAAGTTTGGTAACAAATCGCCCAGATTCGGTCTGCCAGAGTCTTCGTTACTCAGTAAGACAACCCCAACCCTCGTAAGTAGCCATGTTTTGTCTGTAATGGCAGAAAAAGAATGTGCCAGCCTAGCAAGCACTTCCGTCACTACCTGTGAGTACACGCACATACTGTACCCTTAACACTAACGCTCTGTATTTGACATGCTTAAGAGCAAGAAAGGATCGTTATCAAACAAGCGTCATTGGATTGTTACGAAATTGTTTCCAAAAGTCCACAAGATGTTCGTGGTAAATACTTGTGAACAATAACAGCTGATAATGGGGTGATTTTGGAAACGACATTTCAATCGGTTCAACAATCCTCTCGTTACAGCAGCGGGACGTACTTGTGCACGTATTGTGTCCGTTAAAAGTTCATTGTGCAAGATGGTCACATAATTAAACAGATGTAAGGACGCGCGTGTGGCGCTAATATAAATGAAAGACAACGCTAGTGTATCATCGCAAAATTGAAACAGAAGCGCCGGAACCTTCTGCTGAACTCTAGATGATATGCCCGCGTCCTAGAAATATGCCACATCTGCCAGTCGATTGCTTTGACCATCCTATTTCGGACTTTCGCGGCAGCCGCGCCATTTCTGAGATGGATTCGGATTTCGGCGGGAATCTGACTACCACGACGATGTCACTAGTTTGATCTTAACTGATATGAGTTTACCCGATGTGTTCAAATCATTCTAACTTGGTTAATCAACCAGCCAGTGCACTGGGAACCAACGGATCCATTTGCTTTGACTGACGTACCGGTAACAATAGTGTTCATACAGGGTATGTAAATGAAGCAAAAGCAAACCAAAAGGGCAAATTCAAATGACCCAATAAAAAGACGCAAAAATCAGCGGATGGACGAGTCAAGAACATGAGCTTAAATAATGATAGCCACCGAAACTGCGACCATTTCCTATCCGAAGGTCCCTTTAACCATCGAGTTCGTTGATCATTAAGTCACTGGTAAATAAAATGCAACAAAGAACTATAGCTGTGTTACGGATAACAAATCGAATTCTCAACGGGACCCATGAAAGGGTTAGACCAAGGATTTTCGAATATAAACACGAATGCCTACAGAACCAGTGGCATATTAATTGAGTACAGTATGTTTGTAACACTAGAGAGATGTACATAAGCCTGTCCAGATATTTAGACGCTACTCACTGTAGTGACACTGTCCATTTGTTTAACCAACAGAAGTACGGCCAGTTGCAACAGCGCGAGGTAAGTGATCCACGGCGGAATGCTTCGTGATGCAAATGATATGTGTTAATGCTGCTGGCCAAGTTCAAGACTGGGCAGCCAGGGTTGGGACAGACCCGACTGCTGTTGAAGGATTCTTTCCTGAACGATATATGTGCTAAGGCAGAAGGTAACGCAATATTGCTCCACCCAATTAAGGTGCTGTCATCTGAGACCTGCTGTAGCCAGGCATGCGCAGATATTCGAAGGTATGCCATGTGACATTCAGAATCATGTTGTCCTTCACTTACTATTCATTATACCTATGGCCTGCCACCAGCGTTGCAAAAATACTGGTAACGTCTGGTGAGGAAGGTATACCCGAGTGTAATCGCGTTTCTGCTAAAACAACCAACAATAGGGAACGTACAATGTTAATTCAAAAGCCCCAACCGAATCCAGATAAGTGAACGAAGGAACAACAGCAAAAAGCTGACTGATAAGTAATACAACGGCATATGAGCCAAAAATGCGATCGATTGCTATAGTTTTCGGGAGCAGATATCAGAAACATTGTTCGCGAACAAGCGCCTTTGCAGTGGTTCCTCATCAGGATAATACACCACAAATGAACGACATGAACGTAAACCACAGAAAAGGGTAAATGTTCAAAACCCAGATGATCTGAGCGACCAAGCTAGGTGATTGGCCCCACGGCGATCAACAGTGTTTGTGTGGGGCGTTGACCACACTGTGTCCTTATTACAGGGGACCAGGGTAGAGTTAGTGCCTAGACACATTTCTTGTGCGCACATAGGTCAGAGTCATGTAGCCTGATGACGACTGCCTCGGCCGCTGCCAGTAGACGACACCTAACAGCTCTAGTGTGACATCTGGATCCGCGGTTGATGGGCTGGAACGCCTCATGCGTTCTGACCTGGCGGTTCGAATCGACCAGGTGTGCAGACACTGCGCTTGCCAGTGATCTAGACACGCCGCTATACACCCAAGCTGGACAGTGTTTCCTAGTTCTCTCGGACAGTCTCTTGGTAGTTCTTCCGATATATCTTGATCGACACGAGCAAGAGAAAGAGTACACACAGAAAGAAGTACTTGACCTTGGAATTTTGTCTCTAAGCTGTTGACTCAGAGTCGGCACTGAGTAGAAGCTTAGCCGTAGGCTTGATGCGTAGTACGTTTGAGCGGGCGTCAGAAAGTCTACTGGACGTCGATTCAGCTATCTCGTCCCCTTTGAACGGTAACGATAAGTAGATCGGTTTCTTTCCTACTAAAAGCACTTTCGCTTTTGCTTCTCCTAGCTCCATGTTTCTGCGAACGAACCTCCCCAGATAGCCATTTCATTCGAATAGGCTTCGTATAAAGTTAACTCGTCCGGTAGCATGTCCTCACTACATATCCTTACTGCTCGCACGGTTAGGCACCGAACAACTTTTCGTTTCTGGCTGAGCGGAACAAAGCTGGCAAAATGAGCATATTGCCCGTTACACGTTCTCTTTCTATGGACACTGCGCTGGGTAGACCCATCAAACCTTCGACTAATATGGACGTCTAAGTACGACCTTGAGTTGGTGCACTCAGCTTCGGTGGTAAATTTTAGGTTTACGTGGGCTGCGTAAAATTGCCTCACTAGTTCTTCCGTGCAAAGATGACTATCTGTGATGCAGAATATATCATCCACGTACCATCTGTAGTAGACTAATTTGTTAATAACTCTGTTCAGAGTTTTGTTCTCTAACTTACTCATAAATACGTCCGTTAACAATGGTCTTAACAGAGCCCATTGTGACCGTCGTTCCATCTGTAGATCTTCCAGTCGAACAGGATTTGTACGTTTCTGGTACACATCAGAAGTAACTGTTTAACGCCCTCGTTCGAGAGGCTGACATCCACATGGTGCAATCGAACAACATCGCATAGATAGTCTATCCTCTCGGCCGGCGGAACATTGGTGAAGAGCGACACTACATTGAGAGAAAACATTTTCCTTCCGTTTAACTTCATATGGCTTATGCAGTCTGCGAAGCTGAATGTATCACAGAGGCTGTGGTTGGACAAGACTTTTCTGATCGGTTCTAGAAGCTTAGAGAGCGGCATGAGGACACGTTAACGATATTTCACACTAGCACTGCCTGAGTAACAAAGTGCTGGGAGCTGAGGGTAACATCAATCGAATTCCGAATATATCCAAAGTATGGGAGGAGACAATTGGGTTTGGGAAAGAGTTCCAATGTTGGCGAACCTGAAGAGAAAGGTATTTCCACTGGCATTTTAAACGGCCGTATCGTTGTGGTCGAGTTTCAGCAGATGGCGGCATACTTGATGGG